CAAAAAGTGGCTTCTGCAGGGACTATGTTGTTGCAATGAAACTCTTTTGATGTACATATAATCCCATCTGTCATCACCCACAAGTGTCTGTTATAGATAACAGACACTAGTCCCTAAGGACCCCAAAGCACTTTACACAACCAGTCATCTACACATTCACACACTGGTGATGGCAGCTACATTGTAGTCACAGCCGCCCTGGGGCGCACTGACCACTCATACACAGGTATACAAGACACAGTGTTGCGAGGCTGCCGGACACTGGCGCCACCGGGCCCTCTGACCACCACCAGGCAACGGGTGAAGTGTCTTGCCCAAGGACACAACGACCGAGACTGTCCAAGCCGGGGCTCGAACCGGCAACCTTCCGATTACAAGGCGAACCCCCAACTCTTGAGCCACGATCACCCAAATAGTGCATGTTTGCTTGTCTTTGTGACCCACATTTGACTCCCAGCACTCGAAATGGTGCTGAATGATGAAGCCACTACAAAATATATATGGATGAAACACGTGGACAATGATTTAACAATAATTTCACTGAATGACTGGAACTACAGTACTGTGCAAAAGTCTTGAGTCACCCCTTATTTCTTTATAATTGGCTTCCAAGAAGCCAGACCTTCCTGTCGTTTTCAAAGAGGTCTTAAGCAATAGTTCTCCAGGCTTCCTGAATTGCTTTTCCAATTTCATTGTCAGTCCAGACCTGTACATGACCATTTTCAGATGGACTTTTTTCTGTTTGTTTGCATTTTTCATCCCTTTTTTAAAAGAATTTTGTACCAGCAAGTGGATTCTCAGAGCTGAAAACTTGGGATGTGCAGTGTGTCTTAAATAGTTTGAGAACATTGGACAAGGAGGACAAAACTAATGGCACACCTTAAAAAACTGTCTCCTGCCTCTGAAAGAAAAAAACCCCAGCAAAGATCTGACACAGCACCTGGAATATATACGATCCTTCAGTTAATTCATCTAATATTTGCTGAAGCTTCACTAGAAATGGTCTCTGTGGAAGAGAAGCTGACAATAAGCTGTTCTTAAAAAATGGGGAAAGTTCACAAGAACTGGACTGAAAATCAGGTCTTATGGAGTGATGAATGTAAATTTTACATTTTGAGTTCAAATCATCATCAATATATAAAAGGGGGTCAGGAGAGAGCTACAACAATGAGCATCTACAGCCATCTGTAAAACATGGTGGAGGCTCTGTCACCGTTTGGGGCTGAATTTCAGCCAGTGGTGTTGAGGATCCTGTCAAAGCACACAGAAAAGCACAGTCAGATGTTGATCCACCTTCCACAACTACCCAAAAGCATATGATTGGTTTCATTTTAGCATGATAATGATTCCAGACAGTAAATGGAACATACCAGTGTTGTGTCTACTTAGCAAAGAACCAATTTTAGATTATATTTTGGCTGTGTTGAAGAATAAAGGTGATCATACCACGCTGTAAAACGCTCGACCTATTTCCTTCAGTTCTTCATAGTGAAATATAAAGATATGAGGGGTGATCCATGGCTTTTGCACAGTACTGTAAATGTTTGCACCGGAGTCCAGACACGACTCATCTTCAGTTTTTCATGTTGAAAGCTAAAATGTTAAGGTTAAGACTAAACACACTAGTTCCAACATTAATAAGACCCTTAAAAGACTCATTAATGAGTCTTCCATTCTTGGTTTCTCACTCTGAACTCAACATTTCTCAACATTTGACACACGAGGAAAAAACCCAAACATCTTGAATCCTTTTCTCTCATCTTCTTTCATTTCTTTATTCAGTTTTCTTTGAGTCTCGTTCTTTCTCTCTCATCCCCCTCCTTTCCTAAACTCAGTCCTAAATCTGACTCTTTGTCTTTTCCCTCCACTTCAAACCATACTGTTTGTCTTCCTCCCTCACCCTCTCTCTGCTCCTCATCCCTTCTGTGACTCACTACCACACAGTGCCTCGGGCCTCTGCGCACGCTTCTCTTGGCTCGCTGCTCAAACAACTTGCTGATTTGGACTTTTAATCTGCAACAAAAACTGCACCTGTCTTCAGGCTATGTGGTGTTTATGGAGCGTTGGCTGAGCTTCATGAGAGTTTCTGTGGGTGCCTTTAAATAATGAAGACGTCTTTGTCGCTGGTTAAGAGGTTAATACTGGAGTGTGGGCTAGATTGACAAGAAAAGTCTGTAGTATCTGCAAAAACAACCCAGATGTGAACATTAAGAGGAACACATTCATTAATGAACCAGAATCAGTTGAAGTCCAGCTAGTGACTACTCTTGGACTTCATGTTTGTTTATTGGTTTACAACAGGAGTGTCAAATTCATTTTACATCCCGGGCCACATACAGCCCACTGAAACCAGGCCAGACCAGTGAAACTCCCCTTTCTACCAGTGTAAAGAAGTTACATATTTAGCTGTTTTTCTACATGATAAAGAAAAAGCTGCTGTGACAAAGACATAAATCTGTCAGCACGACTCTTTCGACTTAAATCTTAAGAAATAAATATGTAAAATTATAATTACAAAAACAGTTACAGAGGTTTTATTAGGGACATAGCTAAGCATTTTGGAATTTGGCATAATTTGTGAAAGTTGAAATTTCTTCGGTATTGAATAGCAGAAACTACGCTTTCTTGTCAGAGGTAATTTTTTGGGAGCGGAGAACCAGCGGCTGACAACACTGTACAAAACGGTAGATTGTTGCGTAATAAGCAAGCGAATAACCCAGAAAATAAAGATTTTTGATGGAAAAAT